ATCAGCTGGATTTTCAGCTGGGCCGCTGCTGGACTGTATCATGGGACCTCTCCATATGGTAACTGTTGGGCTTCCTGTGTTATGGAGCAGTTCCTGAGAACAAGGTACAAGAGTATGAATGTTAATGGTGTACACTCGTTTGAGTTTCTCTCTAGGGCTTTTGCAGATTCGCAGGAAGGAGGAACATCACACCCACTGTTTGATGGGAGATGTCGAGGTCACATTCTAAGGTGGTCACGTTGGACAGGAGCTGCTGTTGTGGTCATGTGTAAATGCATTCTGACAGTATCTGATGATACTGAGGATACTACTGAACTCTGCATGAACTTAGCATTGTGTAAATTAGATAATTTAAACACTAGGGTATGTGAGGATCAAATTCAGAAATTCAGTTCCAGGTATAAATGGATTACCCCATGGTATCCAAGTAAATACTTACCTGTACCTTTTATAGCTAGCAACTGATACTTTTTTTTTTTAAATTTATTTATTTGTGCATACAGAGCTGGGGTACAGGCCAGAGGGTCAGGGGTGGTGAGAGGCTTCACCAGAGTCAGAGTGGGGAGCAGAACAGGCAGATCTACGAAGTACACTGCTGAGGGGAGCAGCGGGCGGGTCAGGAGAGGTCTGCCACGCCATGTGGTCTCCTCCAGGGCAGGCGGGAATCGAACTCATGCGGAAGTGGTTTTAGCTTCTCAATGCTGTGCTTTAACCTGCTGCGCCACCAGGGAGGGCCAGCAACTGATACTTTTGTACTAATGGGAATATATGATCATACAGAGCTAAATCTAGTCTGCATCTGTCACTACCTGGCATGCATTTTTCTCTTTCCCTTAAGTGGAGTTTTTTCTCCTTTGGGTGGGACATATACTCCACCCAGCAGCTACTATCTTAAAATGATTGGCCTTTGTTAAGCTTAGTCACTCATTAGATTGGTGGTCAGCAGTTGCACTACTGTAACTTATGACTTTGTGGCCAAACCAGCATGGTGACTGTCTTTAGTTTCTGGGTATTGATGCTCATCCCCTCAGTCAATTTATATGTAAGTGGAGAAACTCTTCCTTCAGATATGAGGTGTTCTAGCAAAAGAGTATTTTCAAAAAGATTTATTTATGTATACCAGAGCTGGGGTACAGGCCAGAGATGTGGGGTGGGGAACAGGCAGACCTACTGAAATTCACTGTGAGATGGGAGAGGTGTGCCATACCCTGTGGGTCACCTCCCAAGCCAGGGACCAAACTTGTGCTGTAGTGGCTGTGGACTGCTTCATAGTGCTGTGCTTTAACCGATTGCACCATCAGGGAGGCCCATACAGTGAATTTTTTTTGTTTCATTTTACTTGAACATGAATATTACTTTTATTCTTAATATTCAGATAGTTTCCCTTAATAAAAGGTTACCAATCAGTGATTTTTTTTTTTAACTTGGAAGAGCATTAAACACTTTCTCCCAATGGAACAGATTTAATAACAAAAATTAATTTGAAATAGAAATATTTTTGCCTATATTGCCATAAGTACTATTTTTTAAAAAAGATTTATTTGTGCATACAGAACTGGGGTACAGGCCAGAGGCTCAGGGGTGGCAAGAGGCTTCATCAGAGACAGAGTGGGGAGCAGAACAGGCAGATCGAAGTACACCGCTGAGGGGAGCAGCGGGCAAGACAGGAGAGGTCTGCCACGCCATGTGGGTCAGTTCTAAGTTGGGGATTAAAATCATGCTGAAACTCAAACTCAGCCATGGCCAGCTTTGCAGTGCTGAGCTTTAGCCTGCTGTGCCACCAGGTAGGGCCCAAATATTATTTTTAAAAGGCTTCCCCCCCCCCAAAAAAAAGAACTGTACAGTTTGATGGAAGGTGATTACACAGGTTTCCTTTGTATAAAATGTGAGTGTGGCCTTCTGTATGAGCCACTGAAATTTCTTAAGCTAAAAATAAATGTTGGCTCACTTTACAGTCATCTGTAGCACCATCATGACCATTTTCTGCTTATTCAACATGAGGAAAAATGTAGATAGAATTTAATTTCTTTAGCTGCTGATTCTACTGGTTGTCATGGGCAACCTCTGGCCCTGGAGTGGATGCTCCTTACTGACTGGCCCATTCATAGCCGGCTCAGAGGCCAGTCCTGGGCCAGCACCGAGTTCGTTGCTCTCCAGTGCAGGTACAGTCAGCTGTTCACAGCGTATGCTTGCAGATCACAGGCTGTCTGGGCATGCACCAGTTCTGCACTTTGTTTAGCACTTTGTGCTTATAATTCAGAGATCAGCATTCATCTGGCAAAATGATTAATAATTTGTTTAAAAAACCTTCTGGGCTGCTTGGTTTAGGACAGCTCTTCCTTTTTGCCTTCACCTGGCAAGGAAAACATTTTTCCCAGCAGGAAGTCAATCCAACTGCAAGCATGGCTTGGGAGGGTGGAGTTGAACACTGTGGACAGCGACCTGGACATTCCCTTCCCCAGTGCCCTCCACCCTCATCCCAGGGACCAGCATGCGCAGTGAGACTGCGCCTTGCTCCCTTCCATCCAGCCTCCTAAGCGAGTCCTTTGTCTTTCAGTGTACATTTACTAGATTCTGATCCATCTTTATGATCAGACTCAGTTCATTTTTGAACACTACCCACACGAGGGCTTTTTGTTGGGACTTCCTTCCGAGTTCCTTCAGGGCTCCCACTGCTGTCAGGCTTTCTGCACCTCCAGAACAGTGCTAATATATATGTTCCTTGTCGGACAACAGGGGAGACTAGAGCAGCTCAGCCCCACTGGTTCACTGTCCTTGCTTCTGTAAGTAGCACTCAAACATGTTCTGAGTGAGAGCCAAGGCCCCGTCGTGCACTGAAGGTGCTTGCTGGTGTGTGAGGCAGGCAGTGATACCAGGGTGGCTCCTGCGAGGTGCCTGGACACTCGGGTCTTTTCCTCGTTTTGTCCGTCTTCCCCAAGTTGAATCATCTCGTCCTTGCTGAACCTTGTATTTTCTACAGAGGGATCAGCAGTGTCTGTCAGAGGACCAGCTATACTCTGCCCTCTGAGTGCTCCTGGCAGAATGTTTTTCTAAGCCCTGGACCCAGCTTTGGCATTTTAAGCCACATTTATGGCACCAGACTGACAAGCGCAGCAAGGCGGGAGCATGATGTCTGTCTCACTTGTATTTTGCCTTGAGAACTCACAATCTGTTTTTCTCTCTGCTAACAAGAGTTAACAAAAAAACAGGCTTGGGGCCCATTATTTACCCTTAGCCCCGATGAAGACCAGTTTGCTGAAAGTGCAGGTGGGCCTGCCGCCCCGCCCAGGGGTACAGCTTCCCAAGCAGAATGATGATTTGCATTGGTCACAGGTCAAGACTCAGATGGTAACTAGATAACCTGATTGGAAATTTGATTAGCATCTTTCAGATTTTCCATATTGAGAATGGAGTTATCACCAGCAGTTTGAAAGCTAATTTTGTATTTATTACCACGGTGACTTTGCTTTTCACACTATTAGGATTCTGCCAGGAAGACTTGGGAGTGCACGAGACTGCTTTGCTGGAGGACTGAATGTTCTCACAATATCTGCCCATTTCCATTTATATCTAACGCATTTTCTACTTCCTTGCTCTCCCTGCTGATGTGATTTCACCTCTGTGTGCTTCCGGCATTAACCAGTGATCAGTGCCAGGTCTCCAAAGAGTGGTGCATCCTCAGATGAGGCACTGGCTCTCTAGACATGGGCAGTTTCTGGGGGGTGGATGTCATCTGTCAGCACCAATCACTCTCGTGTGCCTCAGTGAAGGCAGAGATATGGGTGTCACACCCCAGCATCCATATCGGTAGTGGTTGGGAGCCCCACCTTAGAACTGATCAGAAACTCTGGGGTGGGGCTTAACCATCAGTGTTTCAACAAATCCTCCAGCTAACTCCACACACAAGTTTGAGAACCATTGAACTACAATGCTATCAAGATTTTCAGAGGTCAAGTATGCACATGTCATGACCCAGCCCTTCCATTTCTAATTATTTCACCAAGAGAAAGGCAGGCATGTATGTTCACATAAGACCTGTACATGTGGGGGGCCTCTCTGGGTAGCCGAGGAGTTAAGTTTCAGAATTGTGATGGCCCAAGTTTAATCCTGGGCCACAGCAGACCGCTCCCGTCTGTCACCTGCTGTTCCCCTTGACAGTGTAGTTCAGCCTCCTCCTTTGTCTCTGGTGAATGTTCTCACCCCCCTAACTCTGGTCTACACCCCAGTTATTTCTCTACCTCTCCACTTGTACTAGCCTAGAACAGACGAGTGTCCGTTATGGTCTAGCTACACAATAGAATACTAGTGAGCAATAAAAAGAAATGAGTCTCAAAATAAGGTGCTGAGTAAGAGCCAGTCTTCACTGCCTGCCCCTCCCCGAGTGTATGGCCCATTATATAAAAGTCCATAAAATGTAAACCATAGAGAGTTCAGTGATTGCCTGGGAAAGGGGCTAGTAAGGGGGAGAGGGAGAATAGATTATAAGATGGAAAAAAACTTGGGGGCCGGATATTATATTTTGAGGTCATGGTGTTTCAAATATGTGCACAGTCAAAACTCATTGTTATTCTTTATAGCTGAACAAAAGCTATTTGGGGGAAGAAAGGGAGCGAGGAGGACACTTGCACCTGACCAGGGCCAGCCCCTCCTGCAGTCCGCGCCGGCTCCTTGCTGCTGCGTGTGTGGTGTCTGGCGCCGTCTCCCACGCGCTGGTGCGCTGGCTTGCCTTCCTCTCTCACAGGCCACGTGAGCAGTCTTACAATCAATGCGCTCTTGGCTGAATCTTCTTTAAAACTTTTGTTTGTTATAATCAAAACCTATGTTTCATTGTAGGTTATGTGTCTTTAGTGAAAAGCTGAGGCTTGAGTTGTTTCTTACTGGCATCCTCAATGTGTGCATCTGGAAATACTTATTCCAGTAAAACCCAAGTTAATAGTTAAAGCCCCGGATTGTTTTTAACTTTTGTATTGGTTACAGCTTTGCCTCCTTGTTTCTTGCAGATCTGATTTGTCTGCACTGAGATCAGCTCTCCCTTTAGGACTTTGTCCACGCAGACCAGGACTCCAGACTTCTCAAAGTGAGTAGCCCCTGCACTGCCTCTGTACGTGGAGATGGTCTCACCCGGCTCAGGTCACTTTGGCTACCCCCATGGTAGGTGCCCTGGGTGCAGGTACCCTCACGCCCCCAGCGAGCAGACTACAAAAGCCATGTGATTTTTGTGGGGACTAGTATAGACATTATATAATGTTGAATGTCTTTGACAATTAGTTGTAATTCCAGCATCTATCTGAAACCAGTGGGATTCACCTTGGAATATAGAATTGACATAGGGAAATTATTAAACCATACAACTGCTCATTAATTTAGAAGAATTTCCAAAGAAATGCCACAGTACAAGATAAACCAGAGCATTCAGAGGTCATGAATATGGCAAAAGTTATTTCTTTTTTAAAAAATGAAGGGTTGAGGACAGTCTATCCTACTATTCTGTAATGGGTCCAATTCAATGTCTTATTTATGCATACAGGAACTGGGGTGTGAGGATTCACGAGAGTCAGAGTGGGGAGCAGAACAGTCAGACTGAAGGGAGAAGTCAGCTACCTGGTCTGGGATTGAACGTGTGCTGCACTGGCTATGGATAGCTTCATAGTGCTGAGACTTAACCCCTTTTGCCATAAAAGTTTTACCTAAGGTGATACCATTTATAAGAAGGTGCCTACAGGGGGGAACTCCCTTCAGTAAGAGCCCGGGACCAGCCTGCTGCTGGGCATGTTTAAACTTAAAACATGGAACTACAGGCATCCTTTTTTATTTTTTTTTTTTTTAAATCACCGGAGAGTTGGGTTTTACATTACTTTCCATATTGGTGTCTTTGGCTACTTTTCCTAGCTCTTAATCAATAGAAAATTTATCTATGTCCTTGAAAAAATAACTGTTCCCTATCCCGCAGAGAGAAAGCTGTGATGAAGCAATAGCATTTACAGTACTGACAGATACCTGTATTTTGCAGGAAGGTGAGTGATTTCAAATTCCTTGCTGGAGGAAACCAACCACTGTGGCCTCGCTTCCAAGGATGCAAGTGTGATTGCCGGCGCCTTCATGAGCTCCAGAGGTCACAGCACGCTGCCACGGACTCTCATGGCCCCCCGGATGATTTCTGAGGGGGACCTAGGAGGCATTGCTCAAATTACCTCCTCTCTCTTCTTGGGCAGAGGCAGTGTCGCCTCCAACCGGCACCTCCTGCAGTCTCGTGGGATCACCTGCATCGTTAATGCCACCATTGAGATCCCCAATTTCAACTGGCCCCAGTTTGAATATGTTAAAGTGCCTCTGGCCGACATGCCTCATGCCCCCATTGGACTGTACTTTGACACCGTGGCTGACAAGATCCATAGTGTGAGCAGGAAGCATGGGGCCACCTTGGTGCACTGTGCTGCAGGGGTGAGCCGCTCGGCCACTCTCTGCATCGCTTACCTGATGAAATTCCATAACGTGTGCCTGCTGGAGGCATACAACTGGGTGAAAGCCCGGAGGCCTGTCATCAGGCCCAACGTAGGCTTCTGGAGGCAGCTGATAGACTATGAGCGCCAGCTTTTTGGGAAGTCGACAGTTAAGATGGTACAGACACCTTATGGCATAGTTCCAGACGTTTATGAGAAAGAGTCCCGCCACCTGATGCCTTACTGGGGGATTTAATGCCACCACAGCCTGCATCAGCAGCCCCTTGAGCAGTACCAGCATCTGCTACACACCGTCTGCTCCCCTCTTCACCTTTCTTTTCAAATAGTTGACTTTTGGTTCTTCCTGAAGTGTTTTCTACACTGGGTGTTCGAGCTTATTTTAAAGAGGGGAGGAACATAAGGGGAAAGCATACATTGCTAGTCACATTTTTAAAACTAACATTTTGGAATAGTGTTTATGAAAATCTTTAACTGGCTTTTAATCATTTTAATCATTTTTAACACTTTGAACAGTTTAGTAAACTGTTTATTTAGTTCTGCTCTATTCTGAAACCCATGCCTTTTGACTTCAGGGCAGGGGCAGGTAGAGCTCAGTGCAAAAACCACTTTGGGCCCTGTCAGCCCTCTAGAGATGAGCTTTCTCCCAGGCTGCCCACCAACAATGGCTTAGGGAAGACTGGCACCAGCTTCAGTCTCTAGGGGAGTAACCTTACTCTTTTCCTCTATTATTTAGTGACTCTGTAAATTAAAACAAATTTAGCTGTTGAGTTACAATATCTGCAAAAACCTTCTCGGGATCATTGTGCCCCAAGATTACTATATGAGCATTATTTTTAATAAAAATATCTGCATAACACATTAGAATTTTTACTAATGAGAATTTGAGGGGGGAAATAGCAGAACGTATATATACACTCTGAAGAAATGTGCTGTGTCCACTTGTCTCTTGGTGAGAGGAGGGCACCAAAGCAAGTCCTCCATCAGAGACATCACTTACTTTTTAACAGAAGGTTTGCTTTTGGTTGACTATCTGCACACAAAAATGCCCCAGCCCAAACCACAGTGCAAGACAGAAGTAATAGGAATGGCCGCCTCTGTTGAAACCTGGAAGGGTCACCCCGCTCACTGCCCCAATACAGCCGACAACCCCACTTACCTGGGACTTAGACGTTTAATTAGCTCTTTTCTGACTCTGCGCTCCTGGGAAACCAGTGAATGACCAGGGTGTCCTTATCTGAGCAACAGTTTTCTAGATTTTTTGGGTCTATTTTGGCAAGGGCCATAAATATGCTGCCAGTGGCTGCACATTTATATAAACCATGTTTTCAGAAATGGGCAACGACCATAGTTTGCACTTAAATTCTACCTTTTGTTTCCTAACACATCTGCTTTTACAAGTGTGCACCACTGTCTAAATAGGGAAATTAAAATCAGAAGTGCCCATAAATGCTACATGATCAAAAATAACAGAACAAAGCCCTAATAACCCAAGGAGGCTCTTAGTGTCTTTAGTATGAAGGTAAGCTAGCTGGTAGTCTCTGGAGAATAACATGCTTCACACTACTATAGTTAGAACACATGTGATGACAAATCCTGGCTAATTAAGGAAAATTTCCTATAAAAATCCTGGCAGACATCACACTCGGCTATAACTAAGAGCATTTTTAGCACTTGGGAAGCCTGCACTTGACCTTTCTCTAAATGTCAAGAGAGTTTACTAGTTGTCACAAAGGAAGGTGTACCTTGGTGTAGGGAATTTTTGTAGTGATCCCCAAGCACTTCCAATTTCTATAACATAAAGGCCATATAGACTTTTCAAAGTTTACGAACACATTAGTCATTAAAGTAAAAGGCATTTTGAAGCAAAGTGTGTGTGTGTGCGCGCGCACAGTATACACACACACATAAACAAACCCACAGAATACTCAAATTAAGCCTATCTGGAGTGCAAACTAGTCAGGAACATGGTAACATACCCTGTACCTTTTCTATCTCAAGCATGTCCAGACAAAAATTACACAGTAAGCTACAACAATTTTAAAGGTAAAAGAGAATACCAAAAAAGAAACATGCTTATTAATCGCCACTCAGGCAGTGGGGGTGAAGCTGCCTGCACAACTCGAGGTATGAAATCAGTAACCGTGGTTACCGTTTCCAAGGACACTGGGCTCTTGACTCAAGAGCTGAGGTGAAGCTGAATGCAATGTTGACTCATTTTAATAAACTTGCATTAGAGAAGACAGACAATGCAGTGATATTCCACACTCCCCAAGTCCTTACTGGTGGCATCTAATAAAACACTTACCCTGTTTAACAGATACCAAAAAGTAGTGAACACTTTTCATAGCAAAGGCTTTCTGTTGGTTGCTGCATTTTCCTCTTAAGCCTTCCAAAGAGTGACTAACATCTACCATGCTTGGTAAAGTCAGCAGTAGTTATGCTTCAGAATTTATCTGAGATATTTTGGAGTATACCTAGACGTGGAAATAAGTTACAAGTGAGCATACTTTTTAAAATGCCACGTTGGAACCCAAGGCGCTGCTCGGGCTGAAGTGCACACCGAGGCTTTGGGAGAGGCCTGCTGGAGACTGGCCTGGCTCCCTTGTGTGGGTTACTAACTCCCCCAGCACTGCTGCAGGCAAAGGCTCTGAAGGGAACAACTTGGAGACCGCTGTCCCATTCACTAGTAGCTGGAGGTGGTATGTGGAGCAAATAAAAACATTTACCTCAGCAACACTGCTCTGCATTCTGATGCACATAAGGCAAAGCGGAAGTCCCACCATAGCTGTTCAATGAAAACGTTCTAGACCTTTCTTGAAAATGGAGGTAAAAGGTGTAACAATATAAAATTCTCAAGTTTTATCCCGAGAAAATGAATTTTGTAAACAAGAAATTACATAACCCAAATCCACTTTTCCAGTAAGTACTACGACTAGGTCAGAGGTCCTGAGTTGTACAAAGTGAAACATACAAGATTCAAATCTCTTCCTGAAGTATGTAGCTACAACTTTGAAATGTGGCCTATGTGGGCATGTCCTAGGAATAACACAGTCCTTAACCACTTACCTTTTTTCCTTTCTTTCTGATTTTAAGCAGTTAAATTGGCAAAATTCCCCTATACTGGAGCATGAGCTGTCGTCTAAAATTCAGAGCTGTTTTTGAACATATTTTTTCCACTGCTTTTAAGTCATGTCTCTGCTCTATGTATCTTACCATTTGCCTCACTAGGCCAGAAACTCCTCTTGCCCATCTGAACTAATTTTCAGTGCTCTCATACATACACTGTGAAGTGAGGCAGTACTGGTCCCTCAGCAGTCTGATTTGGACACTTGGAGAGGCTATCACAAAGAGATTTCATTCACTTGCTTTTCCAAATCTTGTCTGAAAAAAATCAAGTTCACAGTCTTTGTGAGAGGTGAAATAGGTTTTCAGTGAAGTCTCAGAGGAAGGATAATTTTTGCCTCTGGCAAAAAGGATATTTTCCTCCATTGCATAAAGTCCAGGCACCTTCTGAGAAAAAGATCTTGAAAGCTGGTAGTTTTAGAAATGAACAAAAGAAGAAATGGTTCAGTTTTGACAGAAATATTGATAAATCCACCCTTACCTGCCATTGTCCAATGGAGGTGAGCAGAATTTCTTCTATAAAAATAATATCAGTTTAATCACAGTTTCCTCTCTTGGCTCATTTCAATGCTCAATCTAAATGTGGATAAATACATTCTACTTTTAATATTATGCAATCAAAGCTCTAGACATAAGTAAACACTGGCTTGAAACATCGTCAATTCCAGTCCTACAATAATTTATTTTCATTAAATGTCAATCCTTCACAGTTTTAATACTGCAGCAGCAAATATCCCTTAAAGAAAGTTACAGTCCATATATATTAAAACATCTTATGATAAGTTAGCAAACATCTGTGCCACAGCCGGGGTAGGGTGATGTTACCTCAGCCCCAAACACTGGCAGTGGGGGACGAAGTGGGGCTAGAAATGACTGGGAACTTGCACACTTTGGTCCCCCAACCTCTTGGAGGAATTCTTCATATAGACTCATAAATGTTCTGTTTAATTTGATTTCTTCACCCCATGGGGTGGGATGGAAAAAAACCACCCTCCACTTTGTAGTTTTTCAGAGCAAATCAGGCAGTATGAGGCCAGGTGGTTTTGGTTCAACACAATTGATCCAGAAGTTGGCACAGCTGGCATGATACTGGTGTCCTCCATATGCCAGCTTGAAACTGTCTGTCTCGGAGTTGAATGCCTGCCAGAAATAAGCAGATAAAGAGAGCAAGTCAGGTTGCTGCCCAGCAACCCGCACGTGGACCTCTCCAGGTCACAGAGGCTGAGGTCAAACTGGCAAACACACAAGCTGAGGAGGCCACAGGAAATCAAGTGAAAGGTTTTTGCTGCTAAATAAAGGAATAAACATATCTTTACCATTAACTCCTGTTTCAGCAAAAGCAAGGCCAAATCTTTCATATAAAAGGCAAAGTCTTCGGTGGGGGCAGAAAGTATCTTTAACATGGGCAATTAAGACAGCCAAGGGCCAGGGTTAAATTTTATCCCTCACTGTGCAGCCTTCCTCTTAAGGCTGGCATCTGACTGCAATACACGTAATCCCTTACATTTCTGTGCCTGATGTAGTCCTACATGAAAGAATTACAAGAGAGTTAGAAGAGAGATTAAAATCTCTTAGGGTCTTGGGCCATTGGGAGCTGACCTAACATATTCTAAAGATTCAAACAGAAATAAGAGTTTGTAAAAACTAGAGATATTAAACACATAAAAATAATTTCCAGGCGAGTAATGGTTACAGGTAAACAGGCGAGTAATGGTTACAGCTGGTCCTAACCTCATCTCCCCCCTGGGCCATTCCCTAAAGCACTACATACAATTAAACAAAACAACATACCATAAGATCTATCCAATTTGTTTTAGTTTAGTAACAGTCAAATTCTGAGGCTCTTTGATCTTATTCTGTGTCACTACAGCTTCCAGCCTCCTAGAATTGCTCATTCTGTCACCATGCTCATTGTAGAGAGAAATAACCACATCATCAGAAGCCAATTATGAAGTACGAGCATGCAAACAAGACACAAGTGGACCCAGACAGACACATTAGCTGATTAAATCAAATGCATGGGAACAAAAATGACTCGGTAAAGAGATTCATGATTGGAGCAGGTCAAGATGACAGTGGAATCATCTGATTTGCCTTCTACACTCAAAATTAAGATGGAGACGCTAGGAAAAATATGTAACTGGTTCATACTTTTTTAGGATGTTCTTCTGCAGGCTTCTCTTCTTTCTGAAATAACGTTGAAACCAAAGGTCAACAAAATTTCCCGGAACAGGGCCTCCAGCCGCCCAACAAATCCTTACAGGTTTAACCTTCTCTCTACCACCCCATGTGCTTGGGTGCTGCAGGTGCAACGCAAGCAGCGTGCTGGTTCCACAGGCAAGACCTGTGTCCATTCTCTCCGCAGCTCCCCCGCCAGCCCGTGTGAAAGAACTTGTCTGCTCTGTGCACAGATGGCAGGGCTCTGTGAAATCCCCAGCCCTGGTCACAGGCCTTGCAGTGAAGTGGGCTAGATGGGGCCATCTTCTAGGTCATGTTAGGGAAGTGCTTTGCCATCTACAGGGAAAGGCTAGTGACTTACCCGGCTCCTGGAGTCCACATTTAAAAGGCACACCCCACAAGCGAGCTCCTGAGCATTTTTAATCCCAGGTCGTAGCATACAAGAGGAAAAATCCAGTGAATTTTCATCAGGCTGTGAGGACAAGACACATCAGTAAGAACACAGTCACTGCAAAGGTTATTGGCTTACTTCCCTCATAACTCATCCTCAGTAGGCCCAGGGGCAAACTGAGTACGTTAGTACCATCAATACAATTCTTCCATTTCCCAAACATTCTCTGAGAACCTGCTGTGTTCTACTAAGGAGGAAGCAGTTGGGAAAGAAAGAAGGATGGGAGTTGATAAAGACAGCAAAAGGCAAACCATTATCTTGGAAACCAAAACACAAGAGTAGCACAAGTCAAATGTGAGGAAGTTGGAGGGCTACCGCATTGGGCTCAGAGGTCAAGAAGTCTCAATTTAAGACTGCAAAGACACTACAGCTGGACGAGATGACACAATCCAGTGTAGTCTTGCAAGTGAGCGACCAAGTGAAATGGAGGTAATGTCCAGGAGGCCAAGGATCTGGGAGCCTGGCGCAATGGCTGACGTGCTTCATGGGCCCTGAGGTCTCCTAGGATGATGGCAAAGTTCTGGCAAAGTAAGAGCTATATAATAGCAAAATAATAAGGTGTGGATTTTCATTTGTGAGATGAAGGGGTGTGGGGTGGGCATCTCTCCCCTGAGTGTAGGGCCCACTGCTTGTCCGGGGGTCAAGCCGTGGGGTGTCTGTGAGCCCACTGCCACCTGGGCTTTTTTTTTTTTTTTTTTAAGATTTATTTGTTCATATGGAACTGGGGTACAGGCCAGAGATGTGGGGGGTGAGAAGATTCACCAGAGACAGAGTGGGGAGCAGAACAGGTAGATTGATGAAGTACACTGCTGAGGGGAGCAGCGAGCGGGTCAGGAGAGGTCTGCCACGCCATGTGGATCTCCGGGGCAAGCGGGATTCGAACTCAAGCGATAGTGGCTTTAGCTTCTTAGTGCTGTGCTTTAACCCACTGCGCCACCAGGGAGGGCCGCCACCTGGGCTTTTTAACTGCCTTTTTTCAAACTCATCTGCATTAAACTTGTTGGAGATGTGGATTTTTCTGGCTATCAGGTAACTGGACTGCATAGGGCCTCAGTCACATACTCCTTGTTTTGCAGGTTGGTGCAGACAGACATGATGCCTTGGCCAAGGTGGACCCTGGCTACTGTGTCCTGGGCATTCCTGCACCACCGACTGGACACTGTCAGCCCCAGCAGGGGAAAACATTCTGCTGATGCAGATGACTTGGCCAGGGTGGAGCTGCGCCCAGATCTGCCGCAGCTTCTCACCACACACTTGTCATAAATACAGGCAGCCTCTGGGGGAGAGCTGCTCATGACACCATGTGGCCAGAGGGGGAACTCACCCACTTTTGCCTTTTTCTGCCTCAGGTCAAAGACTGGTATCTAAGCCTCAGGGCCACCTCAGCAGAAGTGAGCCTTTGGGTACAACTTCTTTTTATGAGTCTGGGAACACTGGGTGGGGTCGTAGCGGATAGCAACACCAGGATCTCTGGTGGCCAACTGGAAGCCAAGAGCAATAGCTGTACTTTCTAAAGTTAATTAGGCAGAACTACTGAGGGGATACTATAGTGCTTTGTATTTACAAAATTTTACTTCTTTCCTAAGGCAAAGAAATGACTTCTCCTCCCAAAATGTGTTGGCTGTTTATGATATGTCTCTGTTCTTTTCTAATTTGAAATAACAAGGTACTAGCTTCACTATCTTTCTGAAATGAGCCTGAACTGAATCCACTCAGAGCGCACCTAGCAAGGATACACAGCTTTCAAAGAAAAGGAGATGGGAATGTTCCCACCAGTGCATAAAGGAAACCTACAAGGCTTTAGCCAGGACAGAGGATTTTTCTTTTCTTTTTCCATGCAAACCATGGCCACTTTAGTTAAACCTAGAAGCAGGGGTACAATTCCTTGTTTGCTATCCAATTCTATCATCTGTATGTAAAGCAGTCACAATTTCACTTGCTACCTATTTCTCTTAGTTTGGGAACAGTACACACGCAGGTGCACGCCTGTTATCTAGGGGGGTTATCTGAAAAGGATAAAATATGCTGACTTATCCAATTATTCACTGACAAAATTTAACAAGCTTTTTGAAGAGGTTAAAGTCATAATAACACTTCTATAACCCGCATTGTAGCTATTTGTCAAAAAATTAATATAGATTATCTGAGAACGACATTTTCTATTTTGGAAATTTTGGAATCTTGAAATCAAATTAATAAAATCCTTTAGTATATTTACTACAGGCATGAGGGAAGCAAATGAAAAGGTTATATTGTAATCTCCAGTGAAAGTCACAGAGCTTTGGATAAAATACCCTTCAATTAAATTCTTCAAATGATAAAACTGACCTTTAGAAATACACACCTAAGGGCTCTCCCTGGTTGCTCAACAGGCACTGTACTATGAAGCTGTCAGAGGTCACTGCAGCATGAGTCCGATCCCCAGCCAGGGAGATGACCCACATGGCGTGGCAGACCTCTCCTGACCCTCCCACTGATCCCCTTAGCAGTGTACTTCGATGATCAGTTCTTTTCCCCACTGTCTCTGGTGAATCCTCTCACCCACCACACTTTTGGCCTGTACCCCAGTTCCCCAGTTCTGTAAGCATAAGTAAATAAATCTTAAAAAAAAAAAAAAAAGAAATACACACCTCCAAGTCGCTGTATTACAGTAATACACCGTAACAGAGTGATGCCCACCAACCGCCACAATTCTACAAGAAGGTGCACCCTCTACAGGCCATCTTAAATTGAACACTACTTCATTGGCAAGTATTTCATGCACTTAGGAAAAGTTAAAAAAAAAAAAAAGTTCTATCACACGTGACCTGCACAGATTGATGAGTACCAGAGTCAGACCTGGGTATATAATCCTAAATCTTTAGCCAATAATAAACTGCTAAAATGATGTCCAAGAAAATAACTATTAAGCAAGAAAAGTTTGGTAGTTGGCATTCTTGTCTTTCTCCTTCCAAACAAATGTGGGTAGGGTGAGCCTTCCCTTTCCTCCTCAGTGAGGCATAGCTATGGAACTTGGGCCTAAGTCACATGTCACTTCTGGAAGGAAGCTAAGCTCAAGTGCTGTCTGCCATGTTTAACACCTCGTGCCGTCCCTCCATGCTCCAAGAGGTGGAGGCTGTGACCCAGGATTCTGAGGAGGCCAGCAGGGCACAGAGCCCCTCTAACACAAGATGGGCATGGAGCAAGCCCAAGAAACAGATCTTTATTGTTCTGCATTGCCATGTGTGAGAGCCCCCACGGCATGACCTCCCCTCATTCTGCTGATAGGAGTGTCCAGACAGTTTCCACAGCAATTCCAAACTTGGTTCTGGCTTGGCCCTGTAGTTAATTAGTACATCTGCCAACTCCTCCCTGCTTCCACCTCCTCACTTGTTCTCCCTCTCACCCTCCCGCCTCCTCCTGGTGGGCACTTAGACAACACTGGGTCCACCTGGAGAGCTGGGAAAAGTTTACCATCTAGGGATAATTACTATGCACAGTCCCCTTTTTGGCATAAAGTAACACGTTCACAGGTTCCAGGGATCAGGACACCTTTGGGGGACCATTCCTCAGTCTGCCACACCCAGCTCTGTCAACTGGGGACAGCCATGCAGCACATGACGATTCTGTCTCTAAACACACTGTGCAGTCAGCACAATGACGAAACATTATTTCTATTAAAGTTAAACCAGTCTTCTGATGTGCCACAGCAATAGGAACTACCCTGAAATTCACTGCTTATTCCACACTGAAGGAAAGTATAAAATAACTTACATTATCACAGAGAATGCAGAATCACAGAGTCTATACAAGCTAATGTAATTTTCAGCTGACTGCAGATCAGGAGAATAAACAATCCTTTTTCTTTTTGTAGGTTTCCCATGGATTAGTCTGTTTTTGTAGGACTGACTTTGTTCCACACCTACCCACACCCATGAGAGAAAGCCTTCATAACAGTTTCTTCAGGGGACTAACCAGTAAACACATCTCAGCTCACCAAAATAAATGACTTTTCTCTCCCAACAAAAGCCAGGTTCCTCATAGCCTGTGCGCAGAGGAGATAAGCCTATGCCACCATAGGGTGTTTTAGTCCATGGGAAAAAGTATTAAAGGGAAAGGGAATTTTTAACATGGCTACTGTCAAATCCAGCTGAGATGCCTAAGTGAGGGAGCACAGTCTGGAGCTAAGACCACACTCTGCTTTCTGAGCCCTGCCATCCCCACTGCCACCAGCACCAATGTTCTGGGTCTGTTTCACTGAAGAAGCGAGACGCAGCCACTTCTTGGGAGTTGTTTCATGGAGTCTTCATGAGAAGGAACAAGTAAGTCCTTTCTGGCATTTTATAAGCTGGGACTAACACAACAGGAAGAACAGATTTTTATACTGATGCACATTCAAGTCCCAGATCTGTTTCTTCACCTGCAAAAATGGGATCACACTATTGACAACTGTCACCAGGATTAAACGAGAATGAACAGAAAGCACAGCACAATGCCTGGCAGGTCCTAGATGCAAAATGAGCAGTAAAAAAGGAGCCTGTGGCAACTGGACTCATTAAGAAACTAAGTTCTACTAACATGAAGCAATGGTGTGTAGTGCTAAGGTTCCTCTGCTGCCCTAATCCTGCCTCTCTCCAGTAATGTTTGCTCTGCTCTGAGCCTCTAATCCAGAATCCTCCAAGTTCATGTATCTTTGTTGCAACTGAACTACACAGATGCTGGTCTGCAAGTCCCTGACACTGACACATGTGTCTTCAGAGTAAGAGCTCCAGGACAAGGCACACCTGACACCTCCTTTGTAGAACACATGCCATTCTTCAGGGAGTGGCTCATTCAGGAACGTTTTATAGCTCAGGAGGGATGACATGTATAAACAGGAAAAATATTTGCACGAGAACGATTTTTTTTGTCATCACAGCTAACCTGGTGGAAAATCAAATATGACTGGAAAAGCATGGGTCACAGGAGACGCATTCACAAGCAGCCTGTGCACCCCTGTGGTGCTTAGCTGCAAGCTAACAAACCTTCACACCCTTCCTCGG